CACTGATTGATTGATTGATCTGAGTTTGGTTGAGCTGGACGGACTCACTGAGAATGAGCTGTCAATCACAAGGTAGCCCCGCCCTAAAGCATACCCTGCTTTATGGTCTGTTTTACTCTAAATGGGACCATCAGTTACTAAATGAACATCATGCTGTATGGAAGAAGACTGAGTGTGTCCCGCTAACATCTGTCTCACTGCTGTCTCACTGCTGTCTCACTGCTGTCTCACTGCTGTCTCACTGCTGTCTCACTGCTGTCTCACTGAAGACACTCGGCGGCACAAGTGTTTGGCAGACGTCGGTGTGTGTTCCAGGTTAGCATCTGGTGACTTGAGGGTGAATAAAAGCTTTAAGTGAGGCAGAAACAGAGCGAGAGAGGAAACACACACACACACACACACACACACACACACACTCTCTCAGATATAGCTCGTCCAGGTTAGCATCTGTTAGCGTGGTCTGAATGAATAGAGGGCTCACAGAGGAGAGAGCAGAGGTCGTTGGCTGTCTCCCACACCTGTTACTGAATGTGTGTGTGTGTGAGACAGCTGCTCAGCATGTTGACAGGGACCCCCTGCTCTGACTTATTGCCCCCCCCCACCACTGTGGCTGTAATTACAGAAGAAAGCTGGAGAACGAGGAGGAGGATGGAGAAACAAATAGACTTAAATAGAAAGAAGGAAGAGACACACACACACACACACACACACACACACACACACACACACACACACACACACACACACACACACACACCTCTACTAAAGTCAGCTGATGTTCATTTTTGCAGGCTTTTCATTTTCTCGTCTTTCCCTTGTTAATATGAGGAATCAGCTCGTGGTCAGATACAGGAAGTAATACTGCTGCGTGTCCACGGGCCGAACCAACACACACACACGGTTTCTGTTTGACACACAGCGGCTGTAAAGATCCACAGTAAGGAGAAACCAGGACGCATTATGTTATATCTGGTATTAAAGGAGCAGTGCGGTGTTCCTGCTGAACGCGCTGAATAAAACCACCTGACTGAGTTCATCGCTGAAATCTTTACATCAGGACAGCTAATGAAGGTTCACTGTAACTACCAATAACTCTGGTCGTATCTTATCCAGCACTGCTCAAAGCCAGAGTGTTATATAGACTATAAAGAACATTTAAGACTTTAATCTGCATTAGAATGTGTATAAACTAGAGTTTAGGTGTTTAATAGGTGTTTGCTTTCCACAGCACAAATAAAGAGTCAGTGTCACTCACAGTTTCTAGTAAAAGCTGATTAATGCTGCTGGTTTTCAGTTACAAAATTGAGTTTGTTACTTAAAATGTTGAGATTTTATCAGGTTTTACAGGAGAAAAGTTCTTAAACTCAACAGAAACTTATCTGAGTGTTTCAGAAGGTAAAAGTTTGACTTAAAGCTCAGAGAATGAATGACAGCGCGGGTACAATAAGTGAGTGATCAACCAGGAGTTTATGGGATGAGTCTGATCGTCAGTCGGCGTCCTGCACGGCGCCACAGCGAGGCTCCTGGAGACTGTTCCCAGTTCAGCTTCTGGAAGTTTATATGGGAAACTGTTGTAGGTGTCAGTCAACACATGATCGGACATGAACAGAAAGTTAACCAATAACTGCGTGTACTGACGTGTGTGTGTGTGTGTGTGTGTGTGTGTTGATAAGGATGCTCACACAGTGGGAAAAACAGAGCGAGCAATAAAAGAACAGACAGAGGGAGAGAGAGGGAGAGAGAGGGAGGGAGGGGGGTGAGTAGGTGTCCTTGAGGCAGACGTCGGGCGCTGTGCCAGGGCCGCAGCTTCAACGACCAATCAGCTGTGAGGTTACAGGGAGGGTGGCGGGCAGCCGGCCAATCAGGGCAGAGTTTAGTGATCAACAGTGAAGCTGCTCGTCTGGTCTGACTGGATTCTCTCTCTCTCTCTCTCTCTCTCTCTCTCTCTCTCTCTCTCTCTCTCTCTCTCTCTCTCTCTCTCTGAAAGCTCTGACACTTCTTTCTTGTGTTTTCCTTCTTCTCTCACTTCCTTTTTCTTTTTACAGTCAGCATTTTCTCTCTCTCTCTCTCTCTCTCTCTACACACTCTCTCTCTCTCTCACACACTCTCTCTCTCACTCTCTCTCTCTCTCTCTCTCTCTCTCTCTCTCTCTCTCTCTCTCTCTCTCTCTCTCTGCTCCATTCAGTTGGAGCTTGCTTGCCCCGCTGCATCCATGCTGTATCAGTGTGGATTGTGAAACTCTGCAGCTGTAAGACACGCCCTGTTTCCTGTAAAAGTGTGTGTGTGTGTGTGTGTGTGTGTGTGTGTGTGTGTGTGTGTGTGTGTGTGTGTGTGTGTGTGTGTGTGTGTGTGTGTGTGTGTGTGTGTGTGTGTGTGTGTGTGTGTGTGTGTGTGTGTGTCCCTTACAGAAAGTAGCTCCAGAGTGATGTAAAGGTCACGTGACTTCTGATGGATCGTATTGATAGAAAATGAAAGTGTGTGTCGGTCAGATTCAGTGTGAGTGTGTGAACGCAGCCCGAAGTCTCTTTATTCTCCTCTTCCTCTTCCTCTTCATCATCCTCCCTGATGAAACTTAAAGACTCCTGCAGACTCGTCTTAGGACACATAGTGAGTGTCAATATACACTCTCTCCTCTCTCGCCTCTCCTCCAGGCTCTCTACACTTGTTTGTGCCTGTCAACCAAAGGCAGTGCAGCATTCTTGAACACACACACACACACACACATTCCTCATCCTGCTCGGCGAGTTATTTTTACCGTCAGAGTGTAACAGGCCCTCTGATGGCCGCTGGCCTGCTTTCACAGTTGGAATCATCTTTTCATCCACAAGCTGCTCTCAGGTTCATCCAGTCAGCCCAGTTACTGTAACACACTGACCAGCACACACCAGTTACTGTAACACACTGACCAGCACACACTGACCAGCACACACCAGTTACTGTAACACACTGACCAGCACACACTGACCAGCACACACCAGTTACTGTAACACACTGACCAGCACACACCAGTTACTGTAACACACTGACCAGCACACACCAGTTACTGTAACACACTGACCAGCACTGCTAACTGCTAACACTGCTAACACATGCTGTCAACATTCATTTTGATACTTTTCTGTTTTAGTGTTTTTATTTAACATTAATTAGCTGAGGACGTAGCATCACATTGAAACCTGCTAGCACACACACACACACACACACACACACACACACACACACACACACACACACACACACACACACACACACACTCTTTCTCTGGGCTTTAAGCTGCATCTGGAGCTGTTTAGCGCCACAAAGCTAGAAACAATGCCGCCGGCTGTGTGTGTAGCAGAGCTACAGTGCGTTAGCGGGGCTAGCTCATTAGCTGCTGGCTTAGCGGGAGCTTTGTGTGCTGCGGGGAGAACATGGTGATAAACCCGGCTGAGGTGGGAGCTGTGGCACCTCCCTGTATCAGCTTACACCTCCTCCATCCACAGACCCTGTGTGTGTGTCAGCTGGTTGTCTGGCTCTTTTTCCATCACCTCTCCTCTTCATCTCTCTCCTCCTCTCTCTGTCCATCCTTAGTTGCCTCCTAATTAGTCTTACCAACCCTCTAAGCTCTTAATCTCTCTCTCTGCCTCCATCCCCCCCTCTCTCTTTCCTCCTCATCCGTCCATCTGTAATTCTTCCTCTGCCTGTTGCATCCTCTCATCCATCCTTCACCCTTCATTATTTCCCTCCCCGTCAGATTCCTCCCTCCATCCTTCCATCCCTCCTCCCCCCCCTCACTCTGCCCCGTCTAACAGTAGCAGATTACCCCCCCCCCCGTCCTGTTCATCCCGTCTGCATCAGGAGCTCCACGCCGTCTTTAGCTCAGCTTAGCTTCTGTTTACGCCCAACATCACCTTTTAGTTCCTTCTTTTTCACCTGTTTATTTAACAGCAGGCTCACCAAGCAGACATTTTTATTCCTCTTTAAATTCCACATTTGCCTTTTTTAGATACGTGTCACCAAACAAGATATACTTATATATACTTTTATATATACTTATATATACTTTTATATATACACACACACCATAAAGACGACAACATGACGTGTAATCCCCCCCCACAAAGCTCTGAGTTACAGTAGCATCCATATGTAGTACTGCTTAATATTGTTCTTTATTAGTACTGTTGATTTAAGTTTTAATCCATATTTTTAAGTTTTTACCATCAAAAGAGACAAAAATACCACATGAACACTATGATGGTGGTTTTCAATGTACAGTCTGTTTATATATAAAAAATGACTGTATTGTGTGAATGAAGGTTTTTAACCTATTCAGTGTATCTGAGCCCAACAGGCTGTAAACATGGTCACTATGAGGCCTTATGGAGACTGACTCACTGCTGGAGCCTCTAGTGGCCGTTAGAGGAACTGCTTCCATACGTTTCTCAACAGTGTTGAACTGTGTGTGTAAAACTATTGTGAAGTAGTCTTTATGGGCTTGTGGCTGTATCACTTCCACCTGATGTCTCTTTTTCCTCCCTCACTCGTCTTTCTGTGAGCTGTCCCACATGCAGTCGATGTCTCCCTGTTATCTGACGCTGGTCCACATACAGCAGATAGCAGGTATCTCTCTCTGACTCAATCTGGGCCTGCACAGTTCAGTTTGTGTGTCTGTGCAGCGACTCTTATCTGACAGGACTGATCGTATCATCGGGAACACACACTGACCTCTGTACTCTAAAGCCTGTGTGTGTGTGTGTGTGTGTGTGTGTGTGTGTGTGTGTGTGTGGTGTGTTTATGTTCTTTGTCTCGAGTCCGTTTAAATCATGTTTCTATTCCTAAGTACAGTTTGTTACTGAGTTTTTCTCTTCTGGGGGCAACTATTGGACTTATTTACCCCGGTGCCTGAACTATGAATGTGCACATCATATATGTATTTGTGTGTAGAACAATGTGTGTATCTGCATACTGCAGTGTATATTGTGTGTCACTGACTGTCTCTCTGTGCTCTCCCCCTGCAGTGTGAGCAGTGGTTGCAGACACACACACAACAAACCCCGCCCCCCTCCCGCCCCGCCCCGAGACACGAGCGAGCGAACGTTGCTTTACGAAAAGGACGGGTAAATATGCTCCTCCCTCCTTTCATTCATCCCTCCATCCATCCCTCCTGCCGGCTGTCGGACACACACCTCCTCGCTCTGCCTGCCGTGCTTCTTCATATCTGTCCATCTGTCTGTCTTTCATCCCTCGCTTACGATATATCGCGCCACGCCATCCTATGGAAGCCCTTAACCGCCAAGAACCAAAGCTTCATTATAATGAGAAACGTTCTCAAAATGTAAAACACATAAAAGCAACATCTATAGTTTCTATCTTGAGTTAGCTAATGCTCAAAGCAGCCAACAGCTGACGTAGACTGGCTCGGTCATTGTCTCTTGTTTTTCTAACATAACTTAAGATGTGACTCTATATTTATATTTCTATATTTTAAGAGAGTTTCTCGTTATAATGACTTTACAGAATCCTTTTATTTTTCGTCACGTCGGCGGCAACGGGCTTCCGTACATCCCCTCTTTCGTTCTTCCTCATTCTCCTCCATCGTTCAGCAGCATGGCCGTCATTCCCTTTGGCCCCCTTTTTCATCCTTGAGCCGTCTTCCATCAGCTTCAACGCACACACACACACACACCTGTAAACATCACCTGCCGCTTCCTGGCTGCCTGCTGGTCATGTGACCGCCCGCCTTAGAGGATGTGAGAAAGCTTCTTGCTCTTCAGCTCTTCATCACTGTGCCTGTTGCTGCCTACTGGTTCCGTTTGGGGGGTTCCTCTGCGCTCACCCTGCCCCCGTTAAAGCTCTTGTATTTTATTGTTTATTACCTGGATTTTAATGAGGTTTGTATTTGTGTCTGTGGGACCGAGCAGCGGTTCAGAGCGATGTTTTATTGGAGAGATTTACATGATCTTTTAATGTGTTTGTTTGTTTTATTGAGACGGTGATTTGAATCAGTCGTTAGGAAACACTGTCCGTCCTTCAGTTGTGACTTTTGGCTCCGAGTGCATCCTGAGTTGGTAGAAATCCGAAAGTATCTGGATGTTTTATCAAATAAAAAGTATTACACTTAAAACTAGGATAATACACAAAGTACATAAAGTACGGAGTGAAGAGAGATGAGATGGGGCATTAACACACAGACGGGATGAATGTGTGAGTGTGTGTGTTTGTTCATCTGAGAGTGACGGAGCGAGTAGAGGAATCTGCGTCCTGATTGGCCGAGAGCTGGCAGACATTTTCCACAGTGAGGCTGTTCGGTGGTTGGCTGAGACGCCCCCCTCCCCCCTCTGCCTCCCTGGCTCTGGTATGCCGTACAGTAGAGCTGACACACCGTCGATGCTATCTCAACACTTTATCACATCGGGTCTAAACTCCACTCTGTGTGTGTGTGTGTGTGTGTGTGTGTGTGTGTGTGTGGGACAGCACTGCACACACACACACACACACACACACACAGAGCAGGGGAGAGCCTGAAAGACAAGATGATGCAAGAGAGAGAGAAGGGGGGGGAGGAGGAGGAAGACGAGAGGGAGGAGAGAGGATGAGCAGAGGGAGAGTCACTCATGCAGCGTTTATTCTTACAACAGAAGTTGAACAAAAGAAAGAAAGGAGGACGGACAGAAAGACTTTTATTCACAGGTTTTTAAGGCTATTTTAAAGTTTCCTGAAAAACGATAAAAAGTTGTTGATGACTCATCCTGAACTCTGAGTGGCGTCTTCCTGAGGGCCGATATCTCTGGCCTCACTGATCACTGCACAAAGACCCACTCTAGAGCTTTACTCGGTGACTCGGTTGCCGGCTCATGTTTTTACATTTGTATGAATAAACGTTGTTTGCTGCAGAGTTTGAAGCTAAAAGTTGGGTTTGATCTGGTTTTAAACAGTTTCAGACACAACTCTGTGTTCCTGTTTCACTGTGACGATGTCCCGGTGCAGTTCGCTCCGTACACAAACACGAGTTCGGGCTTTATTGGACAATGTGCAGCCAGGTGCCACAGTGCAGCGTGTGGAGAAGAAAGCGCTGTGTTTGCCCGCGGACGCTCTGTGTTAACAAGTTAGGGCAAAGTACTGCAGCGAGGGGAGCGGAGGAAGGAGGGAGCAGTGGAGGATGGGTATGGCAGCTGAGTGTTAGATGGTGGTGTGTGTGTGTGTGTGTGTGTGTGTGTGTGTGGGGGGGGGTTCAGTGAGAAAGGGAGCGAGAATGCCCATCAATCTCTCTCGCTCTGAACACACTCGCACATGGGGAAGCAGCAAAGCACTCTCTTGTGACTCCCGTGAGTGTGAGCTTCCTGTTGTGGTCGAGACACAGAAACAGAAAGAGACCAGAGATAAAGGGGGGGCCGGGGGGGGGGTTCTTTCAGTTTCTGCAGTCGAGTTTAATAAATAAATAAACAGCAGCATCAGTTTAATTGTGACGTATTTAAGCGTTCATTTGCAGAAGGATTGATCACGTGCAGCCATTTTGATGTGCTGTGTGTGTGTGTGTGTGTGTGTGTGTGTGTGTGTGTGTGTGTGTGTGTGTGTGGTGGGGGGGGCGTTGATGCTCTACCCTCTTCACACTGTGATGTTAAGATGTCCACAGACTTTTGGCCGTTGTGTGAAAAGAAGAAACTGTGTGTAAGCTGCCATTTTAGGAAACAGGATGTAAAAGTTGGTCCAGCCGGCTAATTAGCATCTGAAGCTAATTAGCTTCAGATGCTAATTAGCTTTAGATGCTAACACCCATGAATAGAGAGATAGATGGAGCGATGGAGGGAGAGCGACAGTTAGGAGGAGGTAATAAATAGCCAACATATGGTCACCGGATCCTCCCTCCCCCTCCCTCCTCCCTCCTCCCTCCCTCCCTCCTCCCCCCTCCCTCCTCCCTCCCTCCTCCTCCCCCTCCCTCCTCTATCTACCCCATACATCCCTCCATCCCTCACCTCGTGTCTCTGAAGCTAAACACAGACTGTTAGCCGACACCGCCTCGCTAAAAGAGAGCGATATAAATATAAGACGGTTAAAGGAAAAGAAATGAGGAAGAGTTGAAAGCAGGAAGAGGAGAGCGAGTTGGGGCTGTTTGCTTTCTGCAGCAGGTGTCAGTTGTGTCAGTTTGCCTCTGGCTCTCTGCCCCGTGGGGCAGTTAATGATGCTAGCTGGCTACTCGTGCTGCTAACGCTGGCTAGCTTACAACAGTAACGTAGGATGAGTTAAACACAGAGAGATAATCAATAAAGAGTCAATTTAACTTGTCCACAGGCTAACAATGCCACGCCTAACTCTTATTACAACTCTTATTACTCTTATTATAACTCTTATTATAACTCTTATTACAACTCTTATTACAACTCTTATTATTACTCTTACAACTCTTATTACAACTCTTACAACTCTTATTATAACTCTTACAACTCTTATTACAACTCTTATTGCAACTCTTATTATAACTCTTATTACTCTTATTACAGCTCTTATTATAACTCTTATTACTCTTATTACAACTCTTATTATAACTCTTATTACTCTTATTACAGCTCTTATTATAACTCTTATTATAACTCTTATTACTCTTATTACAACTCTTATTATAACTCTTATTACTCTTATTACAGCTCTTATTATAACTCTTATTACTCTTATTACAACTCTTATTATAACTCTTATTACAACTCTTATTGCACCTTTTATTATAACTCTTATTACAACTCTTATTACAACTCTTACAACTCTTATTATAACTCTTATAACTCTTATTACAACTCTTATTACAACTCTTATTGCAACTCTTATTGCAACTCTTATTATAACTCTTACAGCTCTTATTACAAATCTTATTATAACTCTTATTACAACTCTTATTATAACTCTTATTATATCTCTTATAACTCTTATTATATCTCTTATTGCAACTCTTATTGCAACTCTTATTACTCTTATTACAACTCTTATTATAACTCTTATTACTCTTATTACAACTCTTATTATAACTCTTATTACAACTCTTATTACAACTCTTATTACAACTCTTATTATAACTCTTACAACTCTTATTATAACTCTTATTACAACTCTTATTACAACTCTTATTATAACTTATTACTCTTTTTACAACTCTTATTATAACTCTTACAGCTCTTATTATAACTCTTACAACTCTTATTATAACTCTTATTACTCTTATTACAACTCTTATTACAACTCTTACTACTCTTATTACAACTCTTACTACTCTTATTACAACTCTTACTACTCTTATTACAACTCTTATTACTACTCTTATTACAACTCTTACTACTCTTATTACAACTCTTATTACAACTCTTATTATAACTCTTACAACTCTTATTATAACTCTTATAACTCTTATTACAACTCTTATAACTCTTATTACAACTCTTATTGCAACTCTTATTGCAACTCTTATTATAACTCTTACAGCTCTTATTACAAATCTTATTATAACTCTTATTACAACTCTTATTATAACTCTTATTATATCTCTTATAACTCTTATTATATCTCTTATTGCAACTCTTATTGCAACTCTTATTACTCTTATTACAGCTCTTATTATAACTCTTATTACTCTTATTACAACTCTTATTATAACTCTTATTACAACTCTTATTATAACTTATTACTCTTTTTACAACTCTTATTATAACTCTTACAGCTCTTATTATAACTCTTACAACTCTTATTATAACTCTTATTACTCTTATTACAACTCTTATTACAACTCTTATTACAACTCTTACTACTCTTATTACAACTCTTACTACTCTTATTACAACTCTTACTACTCTTATTACAACTCTTATTACAACTCTTACAACTCTTATTACAACTCTTATTACAACTCTTATAAATTCATGTTACACTCTCGCTTAGTAAGTAATTATTTGATAAACAGAAAATGCTAAGCTAAACAAACAACTGTTTAACTAAACCAAATATGCCTAAAATGACACCCTGACTTTCTACACAGTGTACAGAGTATTGAGTATGCTAACTGCTAACATGCTAAAATGCTAAGTGCAACACAATAAGCTAGCTTTAAAAGCTACTAGCATCACAAACGATGCTA